TCTCATTTTCGGCCCGACAAACGCTTACAGACAAGAGTCATTAATTAACCTTATAGACATTAGGATACATGGAACTGGGAACTCAGTTCTTGATGGGCGATGCTATTATTCACTATGATCAACAGTAGGAAGGTACGTTTAGATAAATGACAATTCTGTGACAATTACAGTCAATGATCAATGAAGCCGATATCTCAAAATTTCTTCTCTAAAGGCGAACGACGTGAGTTCTGTAGGTAAATTAAAATACCACAACATATTCCATCTAGTTCAACTAAGCTAACTTTATTGGTTTCAAAGCAAATATACTGACATCAATGTATACAAGTATACATTCCACAATCAGAAAAACACTAATATATACATATACATATATATACTTACATAATCTGTGTAAGCATCATGAAGTTTTGCACAAATACGTTTCAATAAACCATGAGCATTGAGTGCATAACGGAATGAGGCAGTTAAACATTTGTTAGCAAGAGTTAGGACGCTTAATGAAGTGAACAAAAATAGATAAACAGATATATAAATGAAAACAATTACACATATAAAATGGAAATTGATTAACATTAATTGTAATTGATAAAGTACAAAATTGAAGAATATTTAACTGGGTACCATATAGCTGTGTAATCAATTCAAACCACTGGGACCCATGGATAAGACTGATGAACAAACAGACATTATATATTTATATATCAACTGGGCAATCTGAACTTCGCAGATGATCCGGGGCTCTTCTATCGTACACACAACAACAAATGCAAGAGAAGACGCCCAGTGTAGCGGCAGCAGTAGGTCTCAACATACATAAACAGGAAAGCAAAATTCTCCGATGCAACACAACATGCGACAACCAAATCACTCTTGATAGAGATGCCTTAGAGGACGTGAAATCCTTTGTATATCTGGGCAGCATCAATGACGAACAAGGTGGATCTGATGCAGATGTGAAGGAGTGGATTAGGAAAGGAAGGACTGCATTTCTACGATTAAGGAACATCTGGAACTCCAAACAACTATCAATCAACACTAAAATCAGGATTTTCAATACAAATGTCAAGATAATTCTATTGTATGGGGCGGAATCTTGTAGGACTATGAAATCCATCATCCACAAGATTCAAGTATTCACTAACAGTTGTCTACGCAAAATACTTCGGATACGCTGGCCAGACACCATCAACGATAACCTACTGTGGGAGAGAACAAACCAGATCCCAGTGGAGGAGAAAATCAGGAAGGAGCGGTGGAAGTGGATAGGACACACATTGCAGGAAGCACCGAACTGCGTCACGAGATAAGCCCTCACTTGGAACCCAGAAATAAAGATATGAGAAGAACGAACAAAATTTGGATAGTACTGAAAAGGGAGGCCCAGGACAGAGAAGATTGGAAAATGCTGGTTGGCGGCCTGTGGCTCCATTAGGGGTAACAGGCGTAATAAAGTATATATTTACATATAAACTATGACCTTTACATTCAAGTAGTTTGACACATTATAAATGACAGTTCAACAGTGATCGGTTCATCATTTAAATAAAACTCATATAAATGTGCTCATATAAATGTGCTCACTAGTGACTAGCTTCGTGAGGAAGTCGTCGGAGTTCTAGTGCGAAGATATGACCAGTGGAGTTCAACCCTATCGGCTGTAGGCAGTTACCCACCTAGGGTTGAGCAATACCTTAGATTGATTAAAGTTAGACACTAACACCATTGGATGCCGGTTTAGGTTTTGTGCGCGAGACCGAAGCTGATGGTGTTTTTTCATTCCCTCGAGCGAGGGTCGTAGACAACATACACTGCCAATGATGAGTCGCATACTTAGACAAGACGGCCGTCCAGTGCTTACAGGTTCCTAACAATGGACTAACAACAATGATCGATTCATCATTTCAAATAAAAATCACACATTTGATGAAATGGTCGCAGCGATTGAAGTTTAAATAATTTTTTTAAAAAGAAGTTTCATTCCCCAAACTTGTTTGAACTGCTTCAGGGCACAGTGACCAAAATTATCAAAAAATACACATATATATATACACATATAAAACGTTAAGAAATCAAATCACGTCTGTAAACCAAACTGCTTTTATCCAGCCTTATTTATATACAAAAACTGTTGACATATTGTTTTGTTGTAAGTGGGCAGGTCAAGTAAGATGTTGTGAATCATGTGAGAGAAAAACAGTTTACAGTGTGTGTGTGTGTGTGTGTGTGATAAATGAATAATATGTACGTGTAGTGGCGCTGTGATAATTACTGGTGAATGAATAATGTCAAGTATTTGTTTATTAAAAGTAAGAATCACAACAACCACAACAAAATGCAATTGTACATGGTTTCAACAACAAGTACAGTGTGTGTGTGTGTGTGTGCGTAGATATGTAAATTACAAATTATCACAACTACATTGTTGTAATGTATGAAAATATTCAAATTAATTTCGTATCAGGACAATGTTGGATTGTATGCATGTGAAAATTGAACAGAGGGTATAGAGAGGTCTAGTAATAATAATAATCACTTGTTGATAAATGATTATTCCATTACAAGGGATGTGAAGATTGTTAAGTCACACATTTTCGAAACCATGAATCGATCAATCAAAGTTAGACTACCATTATTAGAAGCCTGGAAGCACTGTTTAGACGACCGTTTCGTCCTGGTATGGGACCCATCACAGTGGCAGTGAGCATCCACGACTCCTGCACCCCACAGGATTCGAACCAGGGACCTTCGGTTTTGCGCGCGAACACCTAGCTTCTGGACCACTGAGTCGGTATCGAACGGTGTTAATGTGTAACAACGACCAATTCACGGTCTTGCGCAACCTCATATACACAGTATTCGGCAGTTACTGTCTACACCCGAACAGATTGAACTTCATTGGTCACTTCTTCCCACTAGAACTCGGAGAAGATTCCTCACAGAGCTAGTCACTCACTAGTGAGCACAGGTAATTTGCATTACGGGGTTGTAAAGATTGTTAAGTTACACATTTTTGAAACCAGGACGAAACGGCCGTCCAGTGCTTCCAGATTTTTAATGGTGGTCTAACATTGATCGATTCATGGTTTCAAAATGTGCAAGTGTTTATTCGATAAACGATGGCTGTCTGCACAGCATGATATTTCTTCTTTGGGCTGTTTTGATTAGCTCATATAAATATACATACAGCGCGCTACTGCTATTAATCTTGTTCGATGCACTCTTAAAATCTTTGCTGAAGTGTTTCAGTCCCATCAAAAGTTGCTCTTGCATCCTGGTACTAATGCAGTGTGAGGCTGCTGATGATGATGACCGGTTTTCTCCAGAATTTTTTTAAAGATCAATTGAGGATTTGGGAAGAGGTTTCATACACTGTTTGTGTTACCGTAAACCTTACATTTAATTATTGGTTAAATATTTTTCTCAAATAAACTGTGCTGCAATCAAGACAATCGACTTTAGGGACAATTTTCCATTGTTTTTCCTACTTAAAATGACTATCGTTACCGACATTGTTGGCCTTAAGTGGATAGACAATACTAAATTCAATTCAGTCTGTACATATACCAATCTAAACAGAGTACACTTTACACAATCCAATCGGCATTTATCTATTATTTATGGAGTAGTAAGAACGAAGTGTTTTCCAATATGGACGTATTATGATGAAGATTACTTGATAACACACGTCATTTAGAGCAGTAAATGTGATGTGTGACTGTTGTAATTCTTTATTACAACTCAGCTATTCCTACTAATGCTTAGTAGTCTCGGACACCAAATTCACTTGAGACGTTCTTGAAATCAGAACACTGTTTTGAATAGGAAAATAGATTTCTAGTGATAGATTTCCAATGACAAGGTTAGATGGAAGTCAAGAAGTTCCAAAGGAAAAAGACGTTAGTATCTTGATAGTTTTTTGAACATGAGAAGATTCTAGAATGTTCCCTCAGTATCAGCTAGCGCTGATTGGATGCAAAAGAGCCAATCAGCGTGCAATAACTCAATCATGCTTTAATCCAACCAATGTCCCAGGTTGATGTATGTGTCTAGACTTTTCGTAATGGAAATGACACGAATCTATTGAATTACGATGATGGCTAAGTATAGAATCCAGAACTAATAGACTTTGTCCTATTTGAAGACGCTTCAGATGAATGAATACACTTGTATTCTGTCCAGTGTTAAAGTTTACACTGAAACTTGAACCAATGTAATTTCGATCGCTTTAAACTTGAAACATGATCCGAAATAGGTCAATGAAGATTGATTAAAATTCAGTGTTGAAAACCAGCAGGAAAAAAAACAACAGGAATGTACAAATCTTAGGAGAGGAAAAATGTAATGACCAGAGTCTATTATTTACTTCGTTTGTGATAGTGGTAGTGCGCATCCACGACTCCTGCAGCCCCGCAGGATTCGAACCTAGGACCTTCGGTATTGTGCGCGAACGCCCTAACCGTTAGACCACTGAGCCAGTATCCAACGGTGTTAATGTCTAACTTGATCAAATTCACGGAGTTGCGCAACCTCATACATAGTCTTCGGTAGACACTGCCTACACCCGAACAGGTTGAACTTCACTGGTCACGACGTCTTCCCACTAGAACTCAGAGAAGATTCCTCACGAAGCTAGAGTCATTAGTGATCGATACATGGTTTCAAAAATGTGTAACTTAATAATCTTCACAACCCCGTAATGCAAATTCATATTAATTCGATGTGATACACTACTCTAAGCGAATGACGATTAGTTTGTTTGTTATTTTGAAAATTCCTTTTACTACTTACTTACTGCGTGGATTCTCATCAATAGTGAAAAAAAAATTGAAACTTGAAAATATAAATAGATGCTTAGCAGGGTGATAAAGCTTTCAAAAGTTCGTATAAAAATAACTGGTCACCATAAAAATGAAATGAATTCACGGAATACTTTTAAAATACAACCAACTAACCATAAGAACAAAAAAAGTTATCAGTATATGGTTGTGTAGATTGAACTCTTAAATCGATCAATGTTAGATCAACATTGGAAACCTGGAAGCACCGGATGGCCATTTTGTGTTAGTATGGGACTGATCAGTAATACGGATCTATGAACCTGAAGGCAGGAATCGAACCCAAGACCTTGGGTCTTGCGCACAAACGCTTGACCTCCTAAAAGGCCGTAACCAACGGGTTCCAACCATACTGAGTATGAGGCAATTGTTACCCGACGAAAGCAATAGATGATGGTCGAGGCAGTATGGTGGTTTGATTTGAATTATTCATCAACAATCTTGGATGGTGGTTCATTCTGCTAAAGAGATAAAGCTTTTGTGTGCCAGACGGAAGATTCTGGGTTCGGATTCTACTTGAGGGTGTTCCCACGTTTTCAATGATAGTTTGACATTGGTCAGTTCGTGATTTCTCAGTCGAAAAATAATTCCACCTACTGTTCAACATAGGTATATTAATAGTTAACAGGAGAAATAGACTTTTGATGGGATTATAACGAATGTATCTCATAGACTTATGATGTTGAAATGCTGAGAATTCGAAATGATTTCACAAAAACAACAACACTCACAACACACACGGAAATATGACAATAGTAAGTAACTTACCTAAGTGCACGAGTATTAATTTGATTACGATCAGTTAATCCATCAACTAAATATTCTACATCATCTAACAAGTGTTGAGTTTCACCTTGTTCTTGACAAACATGTGCCTCTTTCACTTTATGCAATACAGTATATAACTACATAAATTTTTTTTTGAAGAATTAACAAAGAAAAGGAAAAAGAAAATATACTAATTACACTTGTATTGAGACATTTTAATCAATAAACAAGACTCTGTACTGTGAACAAGTGAACAAGTTTCAATATAAATGTATACTACGACCAGTAGTGTAGCGGCAGCCTCTGCAGCAGCAGTAGGTCTCAACAAACATAAAGGGAAAAGTAAGATACTACGATACAACATAACAACATGCACCGACCAAATCATTCTTGATGGAGATGCCCTAGAGGACGTTAACACCTTTACATATCTGGGCAGCATCATCGACAATCAAGGTGGATCTGATGCAGATGTGAGCGCGCGGATCGGCAAAGCAAGGGCTGCATTTCTACAATTGAAAAATATCTGGAACTCCAAAAAAATATCAATCAACTCCAAAGTCACAATTTTCAACACAAATGTCAAGACAGTTCTACTGTATGGAGCGGAAACTTGGAGAACTACCAAAGTCATCATCCAGAAGATACAAGTGTTTATTAACAGCTGTCTACGCAAGATACTTCGGATTCGTTGGCCAGACACACCATCAGCACCAACCTACTGTGGGAGAGAACAAACCAGATTCCAGTGGAGGAATAAATCAGGAAGAAGCGATGGAAGTGGATAGGACACACATTGCAGGAAGCACCGAACTGCGTCACAAGACAAGCCCTCACTTGAAACCCTCAAGGTCAAAGCAAAAGAGGAAGGCCAAGGAACACATTACGCCGAGAAATAGAGAAAGATATGAGAAGAATGAACAAAAACTGGAAAGAACTAGAAAGGGAAGCCCATGACAGAGTTGGTTGGATAAAACTGGTGGGTGGCCTATGCTCCATTGGGGGTAACAGGCGTAAGTAAAGTAAAAAGTTGCCATATGACATTAGCACATAGAGGGATGGAATTGTCAATTCAAATCCTACGATGGTAGATGTAGTAAAAGTGTTAGCGGTAATCGAGAAGATTAGGGTTCCAAAAGATATTTATTCCAGGAGTCTAATCCACTGCAATAAACTATTATAATAGAAAGGTGGAGGTGATGAGGAATTCAGAAGATTAGAATTTGAGAGAACACAAAGAATGAATGCATCTGCGCCATTTCTAAACGAGTTTGAGTCATATCATTCAAAGTCTCTAACCATCATCGGTGACTTTCGTCTTGCGGACTCCAACCAGGCAGCCTACATCTTCCAACATAACTCAGTCCACAGAGAGAGAGAGATGTAATATTCAGAGAGAAAAAAAGACAGATCGGTGGTGGTACTTGATAATACTTCATCTTACTAGTCAACATAACAAAAACATAAAAATCGCCACAACATTTATGAAACAGAAGAAACACACTACTACTTACCGGTTTTTCCGTTCGACTAACTCTCACATCTTTGGCACTACTACTATTGGATAACTTTTTACTAGATACATTATCACGAGAAGCAGGACGGAACCAAGGTTTCACATCCTCTTCTAAGTCTTCATCGTCTTCAACGAGTTTATCGTCACCGTCATCACCGTCATCATCAGCATGTTTCACAGATCGATGACGAGGATGGTGATTACTGTTTGTATATTTGTATGAATGCAAAGAATTATTCTTTAGTCCTTCTGTGTGTACTTCTTCTTCTTCTTCAAAGTCATCAAATGTAAATTTGTCAACATCAGTTTTATTGACGCGTTTAGACAATAATTTCATGTTACAATCTTCTTGATTGGTTGAGGAGGATGTATTCTTGACAGATAGATGATATGAATCAATGGATGATTGTGTGTGATTCGGTGAACACGCTGAGGATTCATTGATTTTTTGCTTTGAAAAAAATTACAATAAAAAGGTAAAGAAGACTTTAATTTACATAAATCCTACTTGAAATTTGATCAGGATAAATCCCTTCATTATTTCCCGTCATGTTAAAACATAAATTCTACATATATTCGAATTACTAATCCAAAAAGAAGTCGACCATTTCTAACCCCTTCCTTCCTTCTGTTGTGAAAAGGTAGCATTGCTGCAGATGCTGGTTTTCCAAGGGAAACACCTTACTACTGCTGTCACACCCCTCTGCAGTCAGCAGGTACGACTTCGTCCAATCGACCTGTCTGGCATAGTAGAACCTACAGGAACACATGTCCCAGCCAATATCGATCGATTGAGTGATCACGATAGGTAAGCCTGACCACCAATTCAAAGTAGTAGCTACGGTCTGACATCGGAAGAGAAGGAAACTAAGGGTGTAATTATTAGTGATGTCAGCTCAGTATGTTTTACCCTTGGTCGAAAGGCTGAAACTTCCATATTTACGGGGATCAAAGAGAGAACATCTGTTTAGGCAAAGCTTACGCATAATTGCAGGTGAGTTTCGCACTTTTAGAGTAAACAAATTGCCGCCAATAGAAAGTGTGCTTACATTAAACACTGTCGACAAGGTGAATGTAACTAACTGTGCAATGTATAAAAGTCAAAACTTTCTCACAAGACAAATTTGGATACTGTAAATGAATGTATTAGTCCGAAAGTCAAAACAAAAAACACAACTAAACAAAAGTTCATGGCATTTAGTCAGGAAGGAATGATAACACAACTATTAAACTGATCAAATCCGCTTCTAGTTTAATTATTCAGAATATGAAGGAATTGAACGACAATCAGTCTACTAAACGGTATGCACATGATCTATGGTTGGTACGGAACTTGTTATCGAAAATGTACTTACTGTTGGAAGAGGTTTTGACAGTATATAAGACTCAGTAAGTAGGTCGGAGACGAAATGAACTGGGAAAGGAACGTTACGCTAAACAACACACACCTGAATTTCTAACTTGAATATTTGTATCCAGCTAGATTAATTACCAGGGAATGGAATTACGTGGAAAGATGGATAGAATGAGTGATTCTCAAGATTCACTAAGTATGTGGTTACACAAACGCTGGTAGTGAGTGGGGAAAGAGATAGTTTGTGTCTAACTTTTATCATTCTAACTACCATGGTTAACGTGATTGAGAAAATAATTTGGGTTAAGTTACTAAGTCACGTAAAATCATATGATTGATTAACACTTAACGAACATCATCGGAGGTAACAGGAAGATTCAAAAACCGAAATCAAATAAAATCATAATGAGATTCTATCTTTCTATCTACCTATCATTTACAAGTCAGTGACTGGAACATCCTAGTCGAACAGATGATACCGACCCCAACAAAAAACACCTTCAAAAAACTGAATTTCTTTTTACTAGAAAACAGATATTTATCAATCATCTCTTTCATCAAAAGAATCTTAATCTATAGAACATTAGCTTGATAATGCACTTTTTTATCATTCAAAATAATCAAGGTTGACTGTTGGTCTGATCAGTCAGATGCAACGTAGAACTTTGTACGTAAGTACATCAGTTCACGTTGCCATACCAAATTAGCACAGAGATGTAATTGTCAATTCAGATTCAATGGTAGTAGAGGTAGTAAAGGTATTAGAAGTAATCGGAGAGGTTAGGATTAGAAGATATTATTCAAGAAGTATGATTCAATGAGAAAAGTTTAGAAAGTCAAAACTAGAGGTGTTGAAGAATCCAGAAGATTAGGATTTGAGAGAACACAAAGAATAAATGCACCGGCGCCACTGCAAACGGTTTTGAGCCATGTCATTCAAGGTCTCTTACCATCGATTATTATCATCTTGCGGACCCCAACCAGGTAGTCGACAACTACCGACATGGCTAAGTCCACTTGTCACTGATTTCATGGATTTCTGCCATGTTTTGGTTTGGCCGCCCCTAACTTTCTTCCAACCTATTCCTACATTACAAAACAAGTTCGTCTGATCGTTCCTTATTACCTCAGCAAATGATCAATCGAAGTTCAACACTTCGAAGAAATAATAGCAACGCTAATTTCATAAGGACTAGTTTCATAAATAAATGTAAAGAATTAGAAAGTAAACTTACCAACTTCGTTGAAGAACTATCCTCTGTTTCAATTTCTTTCTGCCAAGAACGTGGATTATAGGCTGCCTAATAAAAATACATTGAAACACATAACACAGGTTAAAATCGTTTACAAATCTGGTTAGATGTATGTATGTATGCTAAAACATTTCATAGACACATGATACGAATTTAGTTGTCTTTTTTTCAAAACCTGTACGTAGTTACACCCACGAGATGGATGAACAAAGAGTAAAACTTGATACAAATGTTTATTGTGGTTGAGGTCCTTGTATTTCACATCAGCATGATCATGCAGGATTTAGCAAAAGCATACGTCACTCTAAGTTGTCATGAGGAATTGAAAAAAACTAACAGTCTTTCAGGAGGACTATTTTCTATGCATGATACTTATAGTTTGAAATATAATTGTATTTCTTGGGGTCCGCGAGATGATAATAATCGATGGTTAGAGACCTTGAATGACATGGCTCAAAATCGTTCGCAATGGCGCCGGTGCATTTATTCTTTGTGTTCTCTCAAATCCTAATCTTATGGATTATTCAAGCCCTCTAGTTTTGACTTTCTAAACTTTTCTCACTGAATCATATTTTTTTAATATCTTCTAATCTTAACCTCTCCAATTACTTCTCATACCTTTACTACCTCTACTACCATTGGATTTGAATTGACAATTATATCTCTGTGCTGATGTGGTATGGCAACATGAACTGATGTACTTACGTACAAAGTTCTACGTTGCATCTGACTGACAGAATGAATTGTATTTCTGCTTGAATTTATATTCAAAAATATTTCTAATATCTAGTCGCAGTGATCCTATTCATGATAATTAGTTATTGGAATGTTAAAGTTAGCTATGAAAGTTGCTTGATTGTTTAAATCAAAATTTAGTGTAGCTGTAAATTTCAAACCTATGTATGGTCTACTAGTAGTGGGATGTCGGGAGCTTAGACCATTAGATTGTATAGCTTATATCTAATAGCTAGGCACCGGTTATGCGCTAGTCAAGAGTTTACCAATTTGAGCCGATATTTTGATAGTTAAGGTTTATTTAGTGATCGTATTTATAGTTCATTCCTCTTAGTACGTTAACGTATCCCTGATCAATACTTAGAAGCGATCAAGACTGGAACTAGACTACTTCGATTAGTGAAGTTCAAGTCGAAACAATCCAGTTAGTTGGGTTGATGACATCTGAGGCAAAAAAATTGGAACAGAAGCATGCATAAAGCTCGTTTGATTTTTACAAATATGCACAACCTATAGCATAGGAATGATGAACATCTGCTTACCAAAATGCAAGTATATAATTATACCACACTTAAAATACGGGATTCGTTCATTATTTAGGACTACCATTATAACAACACTCAAAACTTTACAGGTAGATTTTCACTCCTATTCATACAATTCACAGTTTTTGCCTATAATCTTGCTAATTTTATGTTTTGATGATATGAAATGTGGTCATTTGGATAGACAGGCATTTGTGTCCCGTCTTCTTACTTTATCGATCGTGACAAAGGAGTATTATAAATCTTAAACAAAATGGACAAACTGACACAGAATCTTGCACCAAACTACATCCATTCAAGGTGAAATACTTTGTAATAGGACAACAATAAAAAACTAGGCAACACACAAAGATAACAAACAAGTAAAGGTGAATGGAATTATGAAAGGCAAGGAATTATTAGTCAATTAGTTAGTCAGCTACAACACAGAACTTCGCTAAATGTACCTACATCACACTTCAAGTTGTCTGAATATATTAGCATACAGAAATGGAGAGTTACCGCTAATACTTTTGTATTAGCAGTAATGGAGATCATCAGGGTTCGAAAAAGTTATTCAAGAAGTATAAATCAGTGAGATAACTTTAGAGAGAGAAACATAGGGGGGATGAGGAATTCAGAAGATTAGAATTTCAGAGAACACAAAGAGTGGATGCACTTGCGCCATTGCAAACGATTCCGAGCCATGTCGTTCAAGGTCTCTAACTATTAGTGACTTTCGTCTAGCGGACCCCAACCAGGTAGTCTACATCTATGCACATGGCTCAGTCCACTTGTCAGTGACTTAATGAATTTGCGTTATGTTTTGGTTTGGCTGCCCCTAGCTCTCTTCCAACCTACTCCTACACTACAAAACATCGCTCGTCGAGGCAGCAGGTGGTTAGGCATACGTAACACATGACCGAATCACTACTTCATTAATTGATCTGCCATTCTAACCCAGCACCTGTTTCGTAATAACAGCGATGCTCACTCGGTTGTCCCACGGTACACAAGCAATGCTTCGAAGACACTTATTATCGAAAACCAGGAACCTACGAATATCTACTCTGACTGGCAATGTTTTGCAGTCATAAAGTAGGACGGAGAGAACTTCTGCGCAGTTCACTCGATCTTCGGTTAGCAAACAGATATCTGTCCTACGTCATAAGTGACGCAAGTTGGCAAAAGCCAATCGAGCCTTCTGTATCCGTGCTGAGATTTTGTCAGTCACCAGACCATCAGCACTGATGAAACTCCCGAGTTAAGTGAAGCGGTCAACACGCTAAACTGCTTTATTCCTTATTACCAGTCCAGATGCCGATAGAAGGCAATCCTGAAGCAACGTTTCGTATTTCGACCGGGAGAATAGCATCCCAAACATGTTGCTTAGGGTAGTCAGAAGACTGGACATAAACAAGACAATCCAATAACTACGCTTAGATACAAGCGATGAATTATATCATTTGTAAGCTGATAATAATCTTAGACACGCGAAATGACATTTAAAACTGCGATCAATTGGTAGAAAATTATGTTCTAGTTAATCAGTGACAGCTATGGTCAATTGATGTGGACTATTGAAGCGAAAAGTGTCATACATATTGGGCTACGCTATCAAGTAAAGTAAATTAACTGATTCATACGTACTTAAGTTACACATGGAAATAATCTAGTGAATGAACATGAACCACAATTAGTCAAAGTCAGTTTATTTCGGTATAAGCAGCCAATTGGCGACACTGATTTTTACACATACAATGTAGCTGAAAGCTAAGTTCGCATTATGTAATGGACTAGACAGTAGCTTTGCCATTGAAATCGGTTTCGGGTGACTGCAAACAAAGAATAAATTTTGAATTGCATGAATATTTTCAACAGGGATTATGGCACTTACTCTTTTGCTTTTACCGCTGAGCAATGGTCGTGAGAATGATTTTGAAGCACCGGCATCTGAAGAAACTTCAGGTTCTGATGTAGAGGTAGGAAAAGAATAAGGAAGACTTCGTTCACGACTATTCTTGGGGATGTCAAGGAATGTCTGAGATTTAAGAGAATTGTTTGATATAGTTACAACCAAATTGGTTTGACTTTTATCTATTCTTTGTAATCTTAACTGACTAGCAGGTTTTGAAGTACATAGTGAATGACTGAGATGATTAGTGATGCTTCGTTGAGAATTTGGAGATGAGACGCGTTGTATAGTGGTGTGGGATGACATTGTAGATGTAGGAGTTATGGTAATGTCGGATCGATATTGATCAGACTTGGGATTTGAACTCCGAATGGAACGTACATCGAATGTACAGTCAGAGGGATAATCGGACGAATTGTTGTCCGTCACAGTAATAACTGGTGGACGACTAGAATAAGATAGGATAGGTGAGCCAGTGGTAACACCTTCAGTAGAGGAATGGGACAAAAAAGGCTGAGATATATTTGTCTGTACTGCACCGGCATAAGCAGAGCTATCCGAATTTTCTGACACAATTTTGTCGGGAGACTTGGTTATCAACTCTTGCCCCTCACCAGTGGGTACAAATGAAACGACATTAACCCTTTTTCTGGAACTAACACTGGATTTGGAAAATGTTGTGGATGAAGAGCCAGATAAAGGTTTTGTGTGCAGCAGTTGATCAAACCTGATATCACGGTTACTTCTACCAGCATACGTCTTGTAATGCACCTGTATATAAAAAAATGGACTGTCAAAATGTCATGAACAGAAAAACAAATTAACGTAAAATTTTGACTATTTTTGAGTGGGACAAAGAGCCACACATGAAAGAGGCCACATAACTAGAACTAATCCAGTGGTCTAGAAGGACACCTAAGTATTTATGTGAGCTGGAATGCTAAGCCGGACCAGGATGACTTTCTAGGAAACCACTTCATGACAGTGATCCAGACTTAATCTACAAGGTAGTGGAGCAACGTTAGGAAACTATTGTATTCAGACGACACTGGTTTCCTCAGATTATGGAGCACATGAGCATTATTGGTTTAAATGACGGTTTTCCAACTCCTCTAGATGGATCCCCCGTACCTAGGAACCCTGTTTAAGCCCCGGCCGGATATATGGTTTTCGCTCTCTCAGGTTTACAGACAATACCCTATCCACAAGAACGGAATGAGAACTTCTTTATCGGTAACTATATTCACATAGCCATATGACAGCGTTTGGAGAGAAAAAGCGAACTCTTCACATTCTCGGCTAAATAAGGTTGGAACTAGGGTTAGACGTAATTGAGTGGGGATAAATTTTATTTTGGGACAATAAGTAGTAATAGCTTGCAACTAGTTACATAGATATATTTATCACTCACAAAATAAGGGTACCGCAACTAGCGATCATAAGGAATTTTAAGGAAAGAATGTATTTAGCTTCACTTATACCAGATCTCGCAGTAGCATATAGCAAGGTAATAGCAACTCCCTACCAGGTGGGAGTGAATAATTTTATGAAGCGACTAATTGTGAATAATAATAAGCGTTTCAGCGTAAATGATTAAATAGAGCAAGGTTATTGATCAGGACTACCACAACCGAATGAGAATACAATTTCCACTTTAAGTTTATAATTAATGAAATTTATGATAAAGGGTGCATATAGGAGTCGGGTAGGAAGCAGTGGCTTTGGGTTTGCGATGCAGTCGATGGTAATCACGAAAACCGTACTGGAAGTGTAATGAGATAGTCTTTACATAATTTGCATCTTTATCATCAACTTCAAGGACTAATTAGGTTATTATTCATTATAAACTGGTAACGAAATAACCTAGCTCTTAATGAATGAAATACCTTAATAAAAATTATGAAATTAATTTTGAAAATGAAATATTATTTTGATATGGTAGCTTAACCATGTAAATGAAAAACAAATCAAAGGAACCACCTACATCCATCCCGCCGTCATATAAAATATTTGTAACTAGTGCCACCAATTCTAATGAAGCAAACAAACAACAGAGCAGCGTAACGGTATAGACAAAATAAATTTGAAAAAATGAGACCCATAGAGCTTTCTAAGCTTTAAAATATGTTTTAAATATTATTTATACCTATGCTATGTTTGTTAGCACCGGTTTTATTTCGTATTATCGTTGTCAGAATCACTGTACACTTGAGCTCTTTAACGAAGATGATGATAAAGCCATGTTTCCAGTATTTCAAAAAGGACCTGATATTTTTTACTTCCGTTATTATTGAGGGTGATAACTCTGGCCTTCATTCGCCGATCACTTCTATAGTTCCCATATCCAATATCTTTTTCACGAGCCTGTATAAACAAAGTGATTTCTTTGTTCGTTAGGTACGATTCCAGGTGTTTGGTAATGTCCAATGAATGAGGGTCTAACCACTCAAATGTCTAATTCTAGTCAGTTGTTTGCGAGTTTGTATGTCACGTGTTTTGAATGAATACGTTAGTTTCATGTCAGTAGGGTTTCTAGATACCAGCAGCTATCGCATTACCAGACCGGAGATCAGTTAGCCGCAATGTGCAGAATAATGAGGAGAAAATTCTAATGCTGGTAAGAAGAGGATTTCAGAATTAAGTAAATAAGTATATAATTTATTTTATTAATTGATAACGAAGATTGTGAGAGAGGACTAAAGTGCACGCAAAGGAGAGGGAACGGAGATAATGAATGAGATACATTAACTTAATTATCTGAGGAGATGGCAATAATGACAACTAGCAGGTCTCAAGACATGCATCAGGCACAGCTTATCCACAAGGGAGATGATAATCCGTATGTGAGTACGTGTTTATTAAGTGTCTTCTTAAAGCTGTCCGGTGACGTAGCTGTGGTCAACTCGGCTGGGATATCATTCCCAGTTGCGACGACTGTTAGACAGAAAACGTGTGCACTAACATGATTATCCGCTCTCTGATGCGCAAGTTTTTGAGAATTGCCTCGAGGGGAGTGGTGGTGACTCATCGGTAAAGCTACTCACGTTGGGGTGATTCATTGTGCCTACTATGTTGTACGCCATTATCAGACCACCTCTGGTTCTCCTGTAACTCAGGGAGAATAATCCCGAATGCTGGAGTCTATCTTCGTAAGTTTTTTTAACCCTATCACCCATTTGGTTGCTCGTCTCTGCACTCAATACAAGAGATTTATGTCTCTTTTAAGAAGATGGGGTGCGGCGAATTTGTGAATCTGAAGATGAGGGCGTGCATATGTCTTAAATAATGTTAAGAATAATTTTGAGGTGATAGCACCAAGTTGTCTTCGCATAAAAAGAAGAGTTGCATTTGCCTTAACTGCGTCCGCTATGTAGTTCGAGTTACTGTGGGGGCTTTCTGTGGTTATTAATCCGAGATCGCGCTCTGAAGAGACATCAAGGGACGGACTTCTATTGAGAGTGTGAATCGTTCGCGTCATGAGAGGGCAGAATGTACATGACGTGACATTCCGGCTGGTTTAGTTTTAAACCGTTTTTCACTGCCCATTCCTCAGTGGATGTAAGGTCCATTGAAGCCCAGTCGAATCCTCTTCGCCTCTGTGTCTAGCAGGTAGTTAATAAATATCAGAGAGAGAAGTGGACCTAGGAGGGTCGCCTGTGAAACTCCCGATGTGGATACTCGCCAGCCACCGTGCACTCTATTTACCTTGGAACGAAACTTTCTATTCTCTAGGTAGTTTCAGAGCCAAGATACTAGTTAATCATTGAAGCCCATTTCCGCAACCTTTGCGATTAAGCGTGCATGGGGTACTGTGTCGAAAGCTTTGGCAAAGTCTAGAAATATTACGTGCACCGGTATTTTTCGGTCCAGGCAAGATGTCCAACTCTCCCATGCTGGGAGAAAATTGGATGTGCATGACCTGCCTTTCTGAAATCCATGTTGAGCTTCATGGAGGATTTCGTTCTTATTCATGAACTCCATCGTCTGTTCGATCACCATCCGCTCAATTACCTTTGATAGTATTGGTAGTAATGCGACTGGTTTGTAACATGCTGGGTCTTTTCTATCCTCTCCTTTGAAGATTGGAAAGAGAGTAGCTTGTTTCCATTCATCTGTGAGTTGGTGTGACTCAAGTAAATGCCTGAACAGGTTACATATCGGTGAACAGAGGCAAAATTGTCTACTATCAGGACATCAGATAAAAAGTCAATAGAATCATAAATCCTTATTGTTAAGAACCCTCTTTCACTACCTAAACTGAAATATCTGGGGAAAAAATGTTCGCTAATTATGCCAGGGAATATTCGAAGTCGAGTACATATCTGGAAGATAGTTGGTAATGTAGAATCCTTTTTGAATGTTTTGTTTTTTGGAAAATCCCTCCATGTTTACATATTTTTGTTATGACATGACGGACTTTTTCTGTTGACATTTTTGGTATTTTATTTGATTCCAATTTGAGATTTTATCATTGTATATTGTTATTATTTCTATATTTTGTACTTATATTGAAGTTTTTGTGTTTGCTTCTGATCTGTATATATGTTGTTTAAATTTGATCTTTAATATGGCTACAGCCATATTTGGATTGATGCAGTGGCCGCTGGACTTAGCGTCACTTATCTATCACTGTTTCTGATACTCTTCGGAGTAATTGTATCCTGGAAGGAGCATTAATTCCAGGTAATGCTTTGTATTTCCATGTTTTATTTAAATAAGACGCTTTCTCCTAGAATTTTTGTCCTTTTTTGATTTGTTTGGACCTGGGACTGGGAGAATCGCGTACAGGAGTGCACCTATTGGAACCCATTGGAACGGCCACTGTAGAAATACATTTACAGGTAACTCCACTTTTTTATGTAAAAATACTATACACACATAGGCATGCTAAAAATAGCCTGGACTATTTACTGGATAGTTAAAACCTCTGAGTATATTAAAAAGTTCCTCTTGTTCTTCATGAAGTAGAAATGTTAGGTTCTGTCATGTGGCTGTAGAACAGGGGAAACCTAATTTGAGATATAAGCCTATAAAATAACCTAGACTTTGTAGTCATTCCGATTGTCAGATACCAGGGCAGTATCGTTGGTGTTGTTCCTTGTTAGAACTCGCATAACAGTCTTGAGGATTATGTTGTTCGTTTGTGCATTGAGATTGATGGAGAAAGGGTCTCCTTCCATTTAGGTAGTTTTCAACTTTTCGATTCTGAAGTTGCCTTCTTTTTCATTCTTATCGCTCTCATGGTACTGAGGTTCGCGTTATAAAACTCTGGAATTTCCCTCGTGTACCAATTCGATTGGTCGATCTAATAAGTTTCGAAAGGCGAAAAAATGTGCGGATTGGATGAATACATCAGTTGATGACAGTCGAGTAGAAGCAGGTTTAACAAATCGCATTGGGTTCGTAAGCCCGCTGTTTTAGATGTTTAGATCACTGTTTAGGCAGGACGATGCAGCATCTTAGGATTCCGGTTGAATTTGAAGTGTGTTGTTGTAAAGGGGTACGGCTGCAATGTATGCGTTTGTTTCAATAGCAATGCGAACTTCAAGAAACCTCAACAGCAAAGTGTTAGTCCACTATGATATGTTCACTGCTAATCGTGAGGCTTGAGATTATCAAAGAAGTCGCTTTTCCAAATCGTTAAATTATTAGTGGCCAGCATTATTTTGGAATCCCGTGATTTATAGTTGTGCAGTATGACTGCTGTAAAGTCCAGATTCCAACAGGCGTTCATGGTCTGAAGTGAGGGACAAACAAAGTTCGCCATTTGTAGTTCCGCGAAGGTGCAGGTCACTGTTACGTCAGCAATATCCTTGATAAGTTCTGCTCGTAGCCATCGTTGAAATGATCCACACATGTCAGGAAGTAACGATATCCGTCTGAATACAGTGAGAGTCCTACGAAATGAATATAAACGTGGATGAAGCAAGCATCAGCAATTGAGTTTGTCTAAGGGTCATTCGTTATTAATACCAAGTCAGAAAAATCGTTCTTCTATGAGCTATAAAATAGATCGGATAAGCAGATGAGAACGTTTGTGTAACGTAATGAAGATACTAATTGTTACGTCCAATTTTTTGCTCTTTGATCCTTAGACGCACAGTTGTCGATCTATTTGCAATTCACGATCCCAAATATTAAACCAAAAGGAAACCCCAAAGTAGATACCAAAGTTTATTGCCAAATCACAAATAATCGACCAAAATGTGTTCATTACAAATAGACGACCAATGTCGTTCTAACAAAAATAATTATAATAATTACAATTACCTTCTATTTTATAGGTTCTTGGAGCAAAAAACAGCAAACGAAAAACCAAAACAAACAGGAGTCCAAAATGGCCGAAAATAATAATTCAAACAAGTTCATAAGTTAAGTAAAACAAATATACCCAAAAAACACAGTGAAATTAATGATATTTATATAAAGGTTTTGATCAGCGAAATGTCTTCATTTCTCCCGTAACACTAATCGGACAATGTTTTCGCACTATATAACAATCCTAGTCTGTAGACACTTCAGTAAGAAATGTTTCTCTATCGATTGTCATCTTTTGGATTTGCTGTTTCCAGTTTGTTGATAGCAACTCGTCGTGAAGATCACCATCACCCCTTTAAACTGAATGCCCATTCACATACTTACGTTGGTCTCTAGGAAAATTGAACGAATATTGGTGTTTCGTCATTTTTAATTAAAAACTATTTCTTAGTTTATTTTATGCAATTTTCACTTGGTCGCTTACCACTAGTATATTTCAGACAGATAAATGAAAATGAAAATCGGGATGTTGAACAATTAAGAAGATCGAGTAGAGTTACAATAAAACCAATATGAACGTGATGAATGGTGAATGCGTTTATTTTTAAGTTGAATGATTTATACTGTATTTAAATCTAGTAAAAGTATTCAATACAAATTCATTAATTTGGAACTGAGTCAAGTGATATAAACAAGTTTACCAATAGCTGTTATAGTTATTAACTTCGTTGTCAGTGGATGTTTCTGAATTCATGCTCGCATATT